TCCCTGGGAAAGAAAAGAATATCTGGCAGGGGGGGCGGGGAATGTCCTAAGAGCACATGGGGGGTATATTTATGATTATAGGTTTAGGAATATAGTTCCCCAACTCACTGGTCTGTGCAGGTTTTCTAACTGTGCCTCTGAGATGGAATATTGCATAATGTTAGAACTTGAGTTTTTGGAGTTAGAGGTGAGTTCACATTCCAGTTCCACTACTTCTTGGCAGCGTGACCTTGGACACTAACCTCTCTGAGGCTGTTTCCTCTTCTATAAAATGTGAACACCGATACCTACTTCACAGGATTTGGGGTGGAATAAAGGAGATCTTGCATGTAAAATGCATAGCACCGTGTCTCTTGTCATTTAAAATTAGCCTTTCTCAAATCTTGAGTAACAAATTAAGTCCATGTGCAAAAACCTAGTTTTTTCCCTGATCTTGTCAAAACTGGCTTCTTTTCCTCCATCTTATGCTTTGCTGTGCATCACCCTCAACTGGACCTTTTCCCTTGCAAGTCCCCACCGCCCTGCCTATTTTTCACTTAGGTCCCCCTTCATGATTTTCACAACACATTTTGAAAGCAGTTGTAAGTGCTCCAGCACTCTGCACTCTCTTCTCCTGGTGCAGCTACAGTATGGGGCGGCTGCCTCCCTCGCTGGAGGGGTGGTAGGTATAGGGGGTCAGCTTCATCTGGTGTTCTGGCCAAGGCTTGTGCTTACATCAGAAGTGTGGGGAGCCAGGAACTGTGAAATTCGATTTTCTCCATCCTTTTTCCACCTAGCAACCTTGTGGCACTCAAGAGATTGGTTTTGGAATATAAAGCAGTGAGGAAATGATGCTCTTCTTTGTTGAAAAGTAAAATCCTAAGCATGCCTTGCGGCAGCTGGTTTCACCACAGGATGCATAAAAAGTGTTTTCATCTGAGTAGACGTCACCCTGTCCTGTGATCAGAGCCACAGGGTTTCTGCTTGGATTTCATAGACCAGGAGTTGATACCCTTTTCCTCTAAAGCACCAGATAGTAAATATTTTAAGCTTTGTGGGCCATAGAGTCTCGATTCAGTTCCGCTGTTAGAATGTGAAAGCAGCCACAGACAGTATGTAAACGAGTGAGTGTGGCTGTGTTCCAGTAAAATTTTATTTATGAAAGCAGGTGGCAGGCTGAATGTGGCCTGTGGGCCGTAGTGGGCCAGCCACTGCTGTAAGCCCGTGACAGACAGCTGAGAACAGTGGGTAAGAGCATGAGTGCTGGCGTTGGGTCTGGGTGAGTCACTTCATGCGGTTTCGGAGGATCTGCTCCCTGCACTGTCCCTGGAGTCCAGGCTACCAGCATCCACGAAGCGCGTGGCTCAAGGCTTGGCGCCTGGTAAACATCGGCTCCTGCTGCCGGTCCCTTAACAGGAGGTGCTCTTGGGAATGATTTTAGGCACATTAAAGCCTAGAGCTAGCTGCAAGTTTATGGAGCCTCAGTGAAAAGAACCCATGGCCTTCTCTAGCTGCTGAGAAGGTCATCGTTGTTGCCGAGCACTGGTGGCTTTCACAGCTGAGTGGGTCAGTGGTGCGGCTGAGTGGAACCAGTGAGGCAAGCCAAGCCAAAAATAAAGATAAGGTTAAACAGCGACTTTATTAGACTCAGCTTGCTTTTTATCTTTTATAACGAAGGCGAAGCTGGTTGATGGGGAAGGGCACGATCAGGAAATCTCAGCTCCTCAAGGACTTGAGGTTCATTCTTCAGCAGAGATTTGTCACCTGGCCGCCGGCTCTGTGCCCGGTGTTGTGCTAGGCAGCTTGCAAGAGCTTCCAGTCTAGTAAAGTGGAGCAGAAGGAAGTTGGATAACCACACTGCAAGGCAGAACAGGACTGTGGTTGCCCACCAACTCATCCGGCACGGTCTGACTTCCTTTGGTCTCCAGCTTCCTTTGGTCCCTGCTCTGATTCCAGTCCCCCTTTCCCCAGCCTGGACAGCTTCCACTGCCTCCGTACATGCTTGTTCTGAACTTATCGATCCATTCATTCATTAAAAGAATATTCGAGTGTGTATTATTTGCCATTAAATAAGACAAGGTCCCTGTTCTTACGGATCTGAAAGGCTAGTTGAAGCAGCACAGTGATTCACAAACTAATGCTATGAAGGTGAGGGATAAAGCTCTATGAGAGTGAGTAAGCTAAAAAAATAAACTGGACAGGGAGGATTTCCATGGTATGTGAATGTTTATATTTGTGCACATAGAGGTTATGTTTTGCAGAAGTGAGGGCATACTATCCAGAGATAGTGCTCCTTTCTTTCTGTTCCATTCCATTCTTTTCTTCTTCCCTTTCTGATCAATTCTTTGCCTATTTTGAGTATGCCCAGCCTGACTTAAGTTTATATTTAGGAAATAGGACCAAAGCATCATTAACATATCAATACACACAAACTATTCTTAGGGTTAGAACAATTAGAGATTTTTTTCCACCCCTGGGAGTTAGTTTTCATTTCAACTTTACGCCACATAAATTTTGTCATATTTTCCTTTTCCCTTAGAATTTCTTTTCCTCTCCCCTCTGCTTTTCATTTTGAAAAATTTCAAACCCTTATTAAAGTTTGAAAGCATGCATGCACATTCATATACTCTTAACCTAGATTCACCAGTTAACATTTTGCTTCATTTGCCTTATTTCTCTCTCCCCATATTTAAACTTTTATTTTGCTGAACCATTTGACAGTAAATTGGAGACATGATAACACTTCATCCCTGGTATTTGAGTACACACCTCCTAAGAACAAGGAAATTATCTTTATTTAGCCATAAAACCATTATCATACCGAAGAAATTTAACACTAATACAATGATATTAGCTAATACATAGTCAGCATTCAAATTTCCTAACAGTCTCAAAACAGTCCTTTATGGCTGTTTCTTTTAAATCCATGATCCAATCAAGGATCATGCATTGCCTTTAGTTCCCATGTCTCTAAATCCCCTTAATCTAGAACTATCTCTCTGCCTTTTTCTTTTTTCTTTTATCTTTCATAATATTAATGGTTTTGAAGAATTCAGGCCAGTGTCTTGCTGAATTGCAGAATGTTCCAAATAGGGAGTTGTTTGATTTGTTTCCTTACTATAAGATTCAAGTTAAACATTTTAGGAAGAAACTACTTTAGGGAATGCCGTGTCCTTCTCATTAAGTCACGATCAGGAAGATAAGTTTGTCCTGTTATTGGTGGTGCTAACCTAGGTCACTTGTTCAAGGTAGTATCTGTCAGATTTCCCCATTTGAGGCTGCCCCCACCCCTGCCATCATGGAATTAGTAAGTCATCTGTGAGGTGATACTTTGAAAACTATCCTGTTCCCCAACAATTTTTCATGCAGTGATTTGAGCATCCACTGATGAATTTTGCTGAATCAATTATTACATTTGTGGTTGCAAAATGATGTTTTTTTTTTCTGTCATTCCTTCTTCCTTTATTGGCTGGCATTTGTCTGTGAAGAAGAGCCCTACCCACCTTTTTAAAAGTATCTTTGTGGATTCATGGATTCTTTTTTGTTCATTGTGTTATGATCCATTACTGTGTTCTTCTTTCATTCTGAGGTTTTATTTAATTAATTAATGAATTAATTAATTTATTTATTGAAGTAGGCTCCATGTCCAATGTGGGGCTTGAACTCACAATCCTGAGATCAAGAGTCACATGCTCTACCAACTGAGCCAGCCAGGCGCCCCTCTGAGAATGTTTTAAACTGAGTTATGACTTAGGCACCGTGAAACGTACAGATACTACGTGTACAGACTAATTAGTTTTCACAAATGCATATGTACATGTAACTCCCACCTTGTCAAAATACAGAACATATCCATTCCCCCCAAAAGTTTCCTTTGTCACCTTCCCAGTCATTCCCCCATCCCACTTCATCAAGAAGCACTAATCTGATTTCTTCATTATTCTCTTTGATGTTTTGTCCCAGATGTTGGCAACAAAAGCCCCGTTTGTTGGCTCTGTTCATTTGACGTGTCCATCTTAATCTTTGAGCACTTTCTTGGTTTCTGGCACAAGAAGTTTTGTTTTATTCTTTTTACCAGCTGAAAATATCCCATAGTATGTATACTAGTTAAATAATTTCTCCGTTAGTGAGCTTTAGGTTGCTTCCTTTTTTATTTTGTTACAAAAATGCATCAGCAAACATCCTGGAACACATATTCTTTTGTGAGCACCACCTTTGTGAGTATTTTTGTAGGCTAGATCCTAGAAGTGGTATTTCTAGGTCAAAGAGTATGTACTTTGAAATATTTGATTGATATTGCCAATTCTTCCCTCCCTTCTTAAAAAGCTGTGTTAGGTTTCTAGAAATAGTGCTGGTTTCCCTGCAGCCTTATCAACATTGAATTTTATCCATCTGTGTGTATATGATTTTGGACTTCTTCTTGAGCATGGTGAACATCCAAACCAGAGAGACTCCTTTTTGGTTTCGAGCCCGATTTTCATCTGTAGAGAAATGAAATCTTTCCTCAAGGGAGAGGTTAAACCAAGGAGAAATTTTTGACAGAGAAATTCTCTGTCATTCGCTGACCCACTCACCATTTTACAGCCAGCTTTTGGGCAGATGATATTCTTATTGTCTTGATTCTGCATTAACCGCACTTGGGAGATGAACGAGGAGAGGGATGTATGCGAGGGGCGTGGTGGCCTTGCCCCAAAGTCTTCTGGTCTTCCTGTGCAGTCTTTGGTTCAGAGTTCCTGCTCTGTATTTCTATCTTTAAATAAACATGAGACCTGATCTTTATTTTGCAGTGAACTTGGTGATTCTGCATTTGGGGTAGTAGGTTTATTATAACCCATGTGTGTGATATCACTCTGAAGTCAGCTAGCAGACAAAATCTTTCCGTTTTTCTTTTATTGTAAATGTTGAACCTTAGGTTAACGACATTTGTGGATGATTTGGACATTGGACTTCTTTTTTTTCAGATTGAGGAAATTGGAAGCTCTTCTCTCTGCTACAGTTACCTGTGTTGATTTTCTTGATAGGTATTTGAAGCTGTGATTTCATGGATCAATTATGAGAAAGAAACCCGTTTAGAGCACATGGCAAAACTGATGGAACATGTCCGTCTCCCTCTCTTACCGAGGGATTACCTGGTCCAGGTGAGTGCTGTGTGAAGAACCAAGGGCTTTCCTGCTCCCTCAGGCCTCTTGGAATAGCTGCGGGCAGCCCTGGTTGTGTGGGGTGGTTGAGGAGTGTTATGGGTCTTTTGTACAGGTTGAGAGCACCAACCCACTGGCCTAAGTGTGAATGAAGCATGGTAGTGTAAGGATCTTTTTATTAATTTTTATTATTGAAGTATAGTTGACATACAATGTGTAGTTCACATCCAACACTCTATGAGGTTTAAGATTGTAGGTTTGAGAATAAGGTACTTAGGGTTTAGTTCCTGCTCTGCTACTTGTTAGCTTTGAGTTTTTATTTAACCTCTTCAAGCCTTAGTTTCTTCTTTGATAGAAGGGATATTATATGAAAGCCCCACAGGATTGTTGTGAGGACCAAAAGAGTTGTAAATATGCAAGTCAGGTGTTTAGCATGGAGCTGGGCATAGGAAATGTTCACTGGAAGTTAGCTGCTTTTACTGTAGGGAACCTAAGCAAGAAGGGTCATTTCCATGTTGCTATGTTCTCTTTACCTTCATGTTAGGCGACTTGGAGCCCAATTCAGAACTGCACAAACCAGTTCCTCATAGGTGCCTGGGATACATATTGCTTCTACTTCCTCTGAGGAAGGAAAGAAAAATTAAGAATTATGGGGTGCCCCTGTGGTGCCACGTATTCAGTTCTTATAATAACCCTGTGAGGCAAAGATAAATCACCTTCTTTTTACAAGTCTGGGCCTTGAGGTTTATGGAGGCTGAGAATTATTTGGCAGTAGAAGGCAGGGTCAGGATTCAAATCCAAGTCTGTTGACCCGGAAGCACCTACCTTTCACTAAGCAGGCTGTCACCTTTAATACTCTCTGTTCTGTTGATCCATTGGCTTTAGATACTCTTGTAAATGGGCGGAGGGCAAAACTTAAATATATGAACAAAACAAAACACCAAGGCAGTAGGCCAACCCTCATCTATTTCTAAGAAGTTTCTGGAAGGAATGGAAGGTGTGAAGCCAGGATAAGAGAGATCTGGTTTAGCAACCCAGTGGCCTAGCTCTGTCACTTCCCAGCCATCTAACACTGGGCAAGTGCTCAATCTTTCTCAACCTCAGTCTTCTCATCTGGTAAAAATAGCACCTGTCCTTTTAGGATTGTTTGGGGGATAGAATGAGATAATGCACATAAAGCCTACAACACTGTGAGTGAATGCTAGCTGATATTACTACCATCTGGATGACCATGGATGCTATTGGGAGTAGTGGGAGAATATTGTATCCTCAAAAACACTTGTAAAATCATCAGCTTGTGACTCTGTTGACCAGAGGTCTAATGGATCAATGAGATGTTCTCTGAATCTCTGAACCTCAGTCATTCTCAGGTGCTGAGGCATGCACTTGCCCGCCCTTGTATGCGCCCTGTGTTTTACACTTTGGATGGTACCACTGCCCCCTGGTGGCAGTGTATCCTTCCTGTAGGGAAGGTTCCCTAAGCAGAGGGACTGAACTGGCCTGAGCTCCCAGGGTCGGAATCAAACCTCCTTCTGTCCTATGGGAAACTGACCAAAGGTAGAGGTAGACGTCTGGCCTCCAGCCCAGCATCACTTGCATAGGAAGGTAATCTGTGGACCTGGGTTCCAGGGAAAACTAAAGAGACCTTAGAGACCCTTGGTCATGACCTCGATCTGGTGTCTACAACTGAAACTTAAAGATAGTAGAAAATAGTTCTTAGGTTAGTATGGCAAAGTAGGGCTTAGATCTGGAGAAGAAGGGGGTCAGAGGCAATGGGCATGAGCACTGTTGTGTGGGACCCCCCCCCCCACCTTTTCAAAGGACTCTTTGCAGAACACCCCTGGAGTGTTTCATTAACACTCATTTGACCTTGAAACTTAAAACTAGTATAACCTGCTGCGGGTGGTTGATCTTGGTGGGTGAGGACACAGGGAAAGCCCGGGGCAGACCTGCACCAACACTGATTTCTGGGGAAGGTGTTTTTGTTTGTTTGTTTTTTAACCAGTAACATTTATTAGGCATTATTAAATATTGTGAAATGTAGATGTAATGTGCTATATCTTAAATTTTTTAAACATTGTGTTTATATATATATAATATAAAGTTCATCATTTTGACCATTTTTAAGTGTACAATTCAGTGTACTAATTGTATTCGTCATGCTGTACAACCATCACTATATCCATTCTTAAAACTTTCTTGTCACCCCAAATTGAAACTCTGTATGGTGAGGCATTAACTCTCTGGAGGAACTTTTCGTTCAAGCTGAATGCATTCTTTGGGAGAAGTAGCTGTTTAGGCATCATTTCACCTTCCGTCCAAACTTTTGAAGCTATCTTCTCTTGGGGTGCCTGGGTGGCTCAGTCAGTTGAGCATCTTGACTCTTGGTTTCTGCTCAGGTTGTGATCTCAGGGTTGTGAGATTGAGCCCTATGTCAGGCTCTGCGCGCAGCTGGGGAGTCTGCTTGTCCCTCTTCCTCCCCCTCTGCTCGTCCCCTCGTTTGTGCTCGCTCTCCCTGTCTCTCAAATAAATAAATAAAATCTTTAAAAAAGAGAGATATTCTCTCACCCCTTTTAATTTTTTTAACTGATCCTAAAAGCTTATAATTTGTACCAACCTGGATCAGTCCTTCAGTGAGGGTGGGGTGAGTGGGGAAACCGTCCCCGAAAATGGGAGTGTTCGTGGGGATCACCTCTGGGGAAGGAGGTGCCCAGTGGTGACAGAGGCTCTATCATGCTAGCCCTTCCTTTCCTGCCAGCTCTAATGCTTCCAGGCAGGTGATGGCCTGGCCACATTTCTGTTCCTAGTTGAGGCTAGTAGTGCCTAGTTGAGGCACCTAGTTCCTAGGTGAGGCTCAGTGATGCCTTGTGCGTGACCAGCTTGAGGGCTGACGTAATCGAGGTGGGGAGGCCCTTCTCCTTCTCTGACTGGACTTGAGTGCCTCAGAGTCACAACCCTTGTCTTGTTCATCTTTTTCTTCCCAGAGTGTAGCACCGGGCTGCCCAACAATGAGACATTCGATCTTTGTTAGTGTTGAATGAACTTGATCTCTCCTGCTAGCTCCTAAACACTCCAAAGAAAATGTGAGGTGGCCTCTGAAGACCACACTCCCCCTTATAGATACACCACACGGCAATCTGACCTACGCCACAGGACAGAGATTTGAGAGTCAGAGCACCAGCATGGTTTCACCCTTGGTCTTGATCATAAGATATTTTGGCTTATACATGCTGAGCATCTGCTTAGGTCCACATAGCTCTGCAGTATGTGAGGAGGCCATAGTTCCAGCTTAGATAGGGTCCAAGATGAAGTCAGTAGGTGGGACTTTGTGCAGGACATTCTTTCTGTTCTGGTATTACCACTCTGTTATCGAGCACCTCGTTGACCAGTTTTGCCCCTGAGGCTTTCACTGTAAGACAATGGATATGAATTCTTTTTGACTCTCGTCTTGACTCCATGCCTCCAAAGGTTGGCTGATGGATCCTGCTCTCTTCCTCTTTCCCTCCCTCTCCTCTCAATTGTCTAACCATTTGCCCTAAACATTATAAGGCACTCAAACCAGGAGGAATGTGGATGAAGCCTTCAAGACAGCTAATTGTCCTTGTTTTGTGTAATTCCATTTAAGCCTACAAACTAACATACCAGTCAGAGACAGCCAGTGAGGTTATATTCCTGTCTGTTTGATGCCAGAACTTAACCACTTACTCTACCGTGCTCTTGAAATGCAGGAGGTAGGCACTCAGTTGAAAGTCTGTGATCTTCCTTTTGGGGTCTGAGATGATATGGTGCGGGTTTAAAAGAGTGTGGGAATACAGAAATGACTCAACCTTGGAGGGGGGCAGATTGGGAAATGCGGCTGAGCTCTGCTCCTGGATCACCTGTGGGTTGTTACCTCCAGACGGTTGAAGAAGAAGCTTTGATAAAGAATAACAACACCTGTAAGGACTTCCTCATCGAGGCCATGAAATACCATCTGCTCCCTCTGGATCAGAGGCTCTTGATTAAGAACCCGAGGACCAAGCCCAGGACTCCAGTCAGCCTGCCCAAGGTAAGCCCCAGCCCAGTCAGTGCCAACGGGCGGGACTGTGTTCTGGGCAAACGGCCTTCTGCTCCTGCCTCCAAGTCTAGCCTCACCCATGGCTGCCCTGCTTCTTGGTTGCATTTACGACCTAAGAGATGGAGTCTGCTGGTTCCTTTTAAATCTGCTGGTACCTCTCTCTTCCAGGGTCTTCCTTTCCTAAGAATTTCCAGGTAACCTCCAGAGTCACCAGGGAGTTTTGAAAATAACTCAGAGCTCTTTCTGCTCTCCTCCTTCTTTGTCCTGGGTTCTATTTCTTTTGGAAGCAGAGGAATGGCTGGGTGGCTCTTGACTTAGTGATGGTCCTACGAGTCCTCTTTCTAGGCCATTATTTGAATCAGAATAGTTCCAGTCTGGTTCTTTCTCTCACTGCAGAACCCCCTGCAGAACAATTAGGGCCACCAGATGCGTACTGGCTACCTTGGTTCCTTGCAAGGTCCTTCCTCTCTCTGGGTCTCCTGTCCTTCATCTGCAGAATGAAAGGTCCTGCACTAGCTGGTCGCTAAAGCCCTTCCCACTTTGGCATTCCAGTAGGCTGTCTAGGAGCCGAACATACTGACATCTCAGGAAAGGTCCTAGCCACCCGAGGAGGAAAGGTGAGCAGATTGGAGGGAGTTGTGTTGACTTATTGCACAGCAGGAAGCACCAGGGAAGTATTTCGGCCTTTGCTTTGTCCTCCTCTTCCTCCTCTTGGTGGCTGGCTGCCATACTCCTTGCCTGCTGCTTCCAGGAGGGTTTTCAAAGTGCTAGAGGAGCATGTTGTCTAAGACCAGATGTTTGGATTCTCTGCGGTCTGTGGTTCCTGTCTCCACTCTGCTCTGTGACTCTGGGTCACGGAGAATTTAGTGAGTGCCATGTGAACGAAGGTTGTCCATATCCCACATAAGAATACAGGCCGCTGACATTTCCTGAGTGCTGCTTCTGTGTCAGGCAGTAAGCTGAGGGTCTCACACGTATATCCTTGAAACAGCCCTGTACGGGGGAGGCAGGGATCCTAGCTCTACACAGAGGAAACTGGAGGTCAGAGAGATGAAGTGACTTGCCCAAGGTCAACACAGCCAATGTAGGAGAACCAGGGTTTGAGCTGGGTCTTTCTCCCCCTCCAAACCTGTTCTGTGAACCCATACCATCCTGTACCTGGTTTCATCTTTGTAAACCTGAGCCTACATACCTACCTGTCTGCTTCCCTTTGCCTCCTACAGGTCAGAAGGGGCAGCCACAGGGCAAGGGCCTGGGTCCGGCTGGCCATTTGCCTTGTTGCAACCTTGTTGACACTTAGGTTTTATTTTATTGAAGTATTGCATTGAAACTACTCCATATTTTTCAAAATGAAAATGACTTCAATTACAGAAATATATGCTCATTGTAGACTATTAAAAAGATACTGCATTTTTGACATATAGTAAAAATCACTGGAAACTCCTCTACCCAGGGGCAATCACTGCTGTTCCCTTGGTGAATTTTCTTCCAGACATAGCTCTGTGCGCCTATTCATAAACAGATAAAAATGTACCCTTTTAGATAAATGGAATCTTGCTCCACAAATTGAAATCATTTTTTATCTCCTACTCAACAGACTGCTTTCATCGTTATCAGTATGGGTGAAATCAGCATTGAAATTATAATAGGTACATGATATTTAATTCTATTTATGTACCATTATTTATTTAACTGCCCTCTGTGGATGGGCCTTCTAATAATCTCCTTTTTTTATATTATAAACATTTCTGTGTCAAATATCCTTTAAAAGATGGCATCTTGTTTTAGTTTGCACTTCTTTCGTTGTGAGTGACACTGATCTTGGTTTCCTATGATTATGGCCTCTGTATTTCTTGTTGGGGAAATTTTCTGTGATGTCCTTTGCCCATTTTTCTATTGGACTATATGTTTTTTATTAACGGTTTTTAAGGGCTCTTTTTATTTTAAAGAGGTTAGGCCTTTGTATGTATTTCCAATATTTTTTCTTCGTTTGCATTCTTCCTCTAAACTTACAGCAATTTTTTTTGAATCCCTAAAAACAATTTTGAGTAGTCAAATTGATGTTTTTCTTTAGAGCTTAGGTTTTACATCCTGCTTAGAAATGTTTTCCCTGCTTTGAGATTAAAAAAAAAAAGACCCCTGTGTTTTCTACAAGTACTTTAATGATTTCTGGTTTTACATTCAAATCTTTGATGCACTTAGAATTTATTTTAGTGTAAGGAGTGAGGGTAAGAATCCAGCTTTATTTGTATGACAAATGATGAGCCAGTTGCCCCCAAAGTCATTTTATTGAATAATCTCCCTCCCCCACCATTAATCTGAATACCACCTTTATTAGGACCTAAATTTCCACAAGCTTGAATACTGAGGTCTTGAGCATACGCATTCTGAGGTGCAGGGCTGTTCTATGTGGAGGAGGCTTCTTCCATGCCAGGTTCTCAGCCGGCACTGTTGCATGTCTTGGTGACTTTTTTCTTTGGAAAAGGAGGTTCTTATCTTTTATCAGGTTACTGACATCTTTTCCTGGGGAGTGTGTTCTAGTGCTAAGGAAAGGGTGCACAGCTGGCCCAGTTTCTCTGTGTGGAGACCATACCCGGTGACCTTTCCCTTTCTAGATTCCACATCTAGCTTTTCCCACACATACCTGCAAGAAGACAGTTTTAAAAATCAAAGCCAGATTTGTGCCTGAGTCCCCACTCAACATGCTGAGACGACTCCCCCCTTTCCAGATAATGAATCTATGGTTGAGAAACATCCACCCCTCTTTCAGGAGGCCAGACTTGTCCTGCTGTCATCTCTACTCCTTAGGAACCACTCTTTTCAGAATGAAAATCTTTAGATTCTTGGGCACATAGACTTCTGCTGGCAACCAGAACCAAGACTTCTTGCGAATGAATCTGTTGGAGGGATTTTAAAAAAAGACATCGCTGCTCTTTGCCTCACTGTCCCCCCAACTTTAATCCTTGAATGGTTTGGGGTTATGTTGTCCAACCTGCTTCTCAAACTCTACTCTGTCACCATTGTTGAGGCACTTAAATTAGTGAGGGTATCCCCACTATGGGTTTGAGGAGTGGGGTATGCTAAGGGAAACGATCACTTTGAGGATTATCAGGTGGTACATTATCTCATTAAATCATCACAATATTAGGGTGTTACTGTTCATATCCCTGCTTTACTAAGTTTACTCAGAGAGGTTAAGTAACTTGCCCAGTTACACAGCTAGTAAGTGCAGAGCTGGGGTTTAAGCCAAGGTCCGTTCCACTCCAGAGTCTGTGCTTTTTCTCTTATACCAGATTGCCTCCCAGGGACAGGTTTTCAGGTTTTGGTGGCAGATGAAAAAGATCCTTTTCTTTTCTTTATTATTTTTTTTAAATATCAAAATCTAGTTTAATTGAACCCTATAACATCCCGTTCATCTCATGAAGAGATGCATTTCCAATACATTTACTACTTTTTATTTTTGAATTAAGACTTTATATTTTTAGAGCAGTTTTAGGATCACACCAAGATTGAGGGTAAGGTTGAGAGATTTCCCATATACCTTCTGCCCCCACACATGCATAGTTTTCCCCATTATCAACATCCCAGATAATTTTCTTTTAAATTTAGTTTTATTGAGGTATAATTTATACACAATAAAATTCACTCTTTTTAGGGATACAATTTGATGAATTTTGAGAAATGTATACAGTTATTTAACTACTGTCCTAGTCAAAATATGGAATATTTTAAGCACTCCAAAAAGTTCCCTTGTGCTGCTCTATAGTCAAGCCCCTTATACCCCTAGGCCTTGGCAACTACTGATCTGATTTCTGTCCTTACAGCTTTGTCTTTTCTAGAATGTTATATAAATGAAATCATGCCATATGTAGCCTTTTGAGCTTGCCTTTCTTTTAGCGTAATGCTTTTGAGATTCATTCATGTTGTTGCATGTATAAAGAGTTCATTCCTTTTTATTGCTGAGTAATATTCCATTGTATGGACGTACCATAATTTGTTTATCATTCACCTGTTGATGGACATTTGGGCGTCCATTTTTGGCTATTAAAATAAAGCTGTTTGAACATTCACTTACAGATCCCTGTGTGGACTTATATTTTAATTTCTCTTGGGTAAATACCTAGGGGTAGAATTGCTGGGTTGTATGGTAAGTATATGTTTAATTTTATAAGAAATTGCTAAACTGTTTTTCAAGACAGCTGTACCATTATGTATTCCCATCAGCAATGCATGAGAGTTCCAGTTACTCCACAGCCTTAACACTACTTTTATTATCTATTTTTAAAGATTTTTGCCACTGCAGTAGGCATGCGGTGGATCTCACTATGGTTTTAATTTACATTTCTCTAATGACTAATTATGTTGAGCATCTTTTCATGTGCTTATTTGCTGTCTCTATATCTTTTCTGGTGAAGCCTGTTCAAATTTTTTTCCCTTTAAAAAAATTGTGTTGTTTTATTCTTACTGACTTCTCAGAGTCCTTTGTATGTTGTGGATCGAAGTCTGTTATCAAAATTGTATTTTGCAAATATTTTTTCCCAACCTGTATCTTGTCTTTTCATTTTCTTAAAAGTATCTTTGGGAGAGCAGAAGTTTAAAATTTTGTCAATTTTTTCCTGTTATGATTTATGTATTTTGTATTTTATAAAAAATTCTTTGCATAATCTAAGATCACAAAGATTTTCTCCTATGCTTTTTTCCTAGAAACTTTAAAGTTGTAGGTTTTGCATTTGGGTCTGTGATCCATTTTGAGATTTCTTTTTAATATGGCGTGTGAGGTAAGGGTCAAGGTTCATTTATTTTGTATTTGAATGTCCAGTTTTTTCCACAGCATTTATTAGAAACATTCTTCTTTCTCCATTGCGTGGGTTTGGTACCTTTGTTGTAAATAATTGACGACACATGTGTTGGTCTGTATCTGGAGACTGTTCTGTTCATTTTATCTATTTGCTTATCTCTACACCAATACCATGTGGCTTTGATTACTAGCT